GGAATCATGGATTGGCCACCTCCCGCACGCCCACACTGGGGTTCGAGCCCGCAACCTGGGCATGTGCCCTGACTGGGATTCGAACCCGGGACCTCCTGGTTCATAGGTCGACGCTCAACCACTGAGCCACACTGGCCAGGATCCATTCTTTTTTTTTAATTCTCACCTACATTTCCATTGATTTTAGAGAGAGAAGAAGGGAGAGGGAGAGAGAGAGAGAGACATGGACCGGTTGCCTCCCAACTGGGGATCAATCCTGCTACCCGGGCATGTGTCCTGACTGGGACTTGAACCCATGACCCTTCGGTGCCCGGGACGATGCTCCAGCCGACTGAGCCACCCCGGCCGGGGCGAGAAGCCGTTCCTTCAACCTAAGCAACTCCCAGAAGGACAACCGTCTTCTGGGCCGGAGGTCTCACTCCAGCAGGAACATCTGAGGGTGTCCCGTACGGGAGGGCGAAGCCGCTCTCCCCCCGCGGTGGGCGGAACCCCAGAGGCCACACCTGGCACTCACCGCCCTCGTGGGTGACCTTGAGCTCCCCCTCCCCCACCAGGAGTATCCCTGTGGTGCAGACGCTGCGGACCACGGCCCTAACGTGGGCATCATCGCAGCCTGGACTCTGGCACTGGCACCCGGCTGCTTCCCCAGCAACCAGGCAGCCGATCCATGACTTGCTCTCGTCATTGATGTTTCCCTCGGTCTCTCTCTCCCTCTTCTTCTCTCTCTAGTCCTCAGCTCTGGAAATGTGCTGGGGGTTTTTAAAGATAATTATTCATTTTTTAAAAATACATATATTTTTTTTTTATTGATTTCAGAGAGGAAGGGAGAGGGGGAGAGAGAGAAACATCCATGAGGAGAGGGAATCATGGATTGCCTGCCTCCTGCACGCCCCCTATTGGGGATCAAGCCTGCCACCCGGGCCTGTGCCCTGACTGGGAATCGAACCCTGACCTCCTGGTTTCCTGGGACGACGCTCAATCCACTGAGCCACACCGGCCGGGCGAGCAGGCTGTTGTTTAAGTGGGTGATAGTGTGTGGCCCGCGAGTGATGATGTTATTAATATCCCAGTGGCCCTTGGCGGAAGAAAGGCCCCCCCCCTACCCCCACCCCTGATAGACGGCAATGCCGGGCGCGATTCCTGGCACAGGCTCCTGGCTGCCCTTCTGTCCGGCTCTCGTTGCCTGCCTGACCTTCGAGAACCTTCCAGGGCCCCAGTGTTTCAGCCCCCGGGTTCTTAGAGGGCGGGTCCTGGGGTGCCCCGGTGCACC